GCATAAAAATATAAAACATGTTAGATAGTTTTGTGTTTTATAGATAAACCAACAGAAGAGCAACAGGAAGAAGCATCTAATTTTCTGCTGGAGGTTTCTTCCTGATTAGCAGGGAGTTTTTCCTCTCCACCGTTTGCTCAGGATGGGAGACTGTGATGAAGTGATTCAACACAATCTGCTGTTTTCTTCTTTACATTGTTCTTTTTATGTACAGTGTCCTGAGACAACGTACTGTATGTTGGGACTTGGAGCTGTATAAATAAACTTGAACTTGAACTGGAGTTTTCAGAGAACATGGTTTTGTTTTGTTTTCTAATTGCAAATGAATTATGTAGCATACAAATGTTCATTGTCTGGACTCACTCTCTTGAGGCCGTACAGGTTGTTGTAGAGCGTCCTGAAACTCTTCCTGGTGTAATTGCAGCGATAAGCTCCTCCCATCAGGAACTCCAGCACRAGCCCGATATCAATCAGAGTGATCTGGTAATCTGGAGGGAGATTACCCTGAAACACACGTGTTGCACATTGGATTAATTCTGATGGTCTGTTGCATCACTTATAAACAGAACCTGACGTTTAAAAACTTGGAAATGATTCAGTCTGTCAGCTTGTAAAGGTGAATGTGGCACAGTTTATCAAAACGTTTAACTTCATCACCAACAATTGTTACAACAAAGAAATAATCTACCAAACACAAACGTCCTTTGTGTGCTCAATTTAAACGTTGTTGAATTTCAGACTTTACTTTAAAGGTTTTGTTTGAAATGTCTTCAAAAAGTTTCACCTTTTTGACATCTCGTACCACGAAGTGCAGAGTGTTGGCTGGTCCCAGCTTCTGCAGGAACAAAAACCACAAAGAAAATTTAGACTTTTTATATGGAACCAGATTTAATCCCTGAAAGTCTCACAAACAAGATTGATGATTTGGAAACTAAACAATCAAGTTGCCTCTTTGTTTCAGYCAGGCTTCTTCTATGTCCCCTTTTTTATTATTAATCTTTATAATAATATGATAAATCTCAAATCACATCTCTGTTGCAGTGAAAGCTGGACCTGAAGGCATCTAAACATAAATGTTTTTATGAATTTTCTCTTCCCTGTACTTTAAAAGGCTTAAATTATTTTCTTGATTTAAATTGACCCTTTTTTAAATTTCTGTTTTGTGTGAGCCGTGTTTTATTGTCGACGTTGTTGGATTAAAACAGGACGGTTCACTGTGTGTTTGGTGACCGTACGGGGCAGGGAACAGATGGCAGCAGAGAGCTCTGCTGTAATCTGACAGAAATCTGACTCCTTTTGTTTAAAAAGCTTTTTATGCCAGTGGATTATATTAAGGTTAAAACAAGAAAAAGGACAAAAGGGAAACTGGAGAACATAAAGCTGCAAGTCAGAATATGGAGGTCAAAACAAAACAAATAAAATAAAAAAAGCCAGTGACCTGTTTTTGTCTTTCATGTATTAGTGTATTCATTCTTAGCATCTAACCCAAAATTTATTTGGATTTTTAATTTAAAGAAAAGTTATGATTCTACAAAAATACTTTTAAATAATGAAGTTAAATGAAGAGTATTGGTTTGAAACAATAATCCAGAAATGTATKAAACTGAAAAGTGGTGGATGTGTTTAAAGTGGATGGAGCTCTGTACAAAAGTTTTACAGACCCCTGCTGGAGCTCTGACAGAGTTATCAAGTTATTTATTACGGCGCAGTATAAGGGTCAAAATTAAGACTGTTACTCAACCAGCAGTTGCTACATCCTTGTAGCAGGAGGCTATATCTATTCCTAATCCAGCTATTGATCTGATTAATGATAGGCTGGCACCGCTAACTGAGCAGCTGACCCCGCTAACTGAGCAGCTGACCCCGCTAACTGAGAGACTGGCAAATGAGGAGACTATTTATTGGTGTTAGCATCAGAGAGGCTAGCAACCAGGATGGAAAGGCTGAGTTATAATCACGTACAGTGCGCAAGCACCCTCGCCGGCAGTGGAGGTGTTCATACTTGACGTTTACGTTGTAGATTTCTCCAAAATGACAAGTGGAAGTACACTTTTTAACTTGTGAAAATGCTGCAAGAGAGCAAAAGCTTGACAGACAGACTGTTTGAATGGTGCAGGGAGCGTGCAGCCTTTGCAGAGTTACAAAAATTCGAAGGTGCACGACCTCGCGCCAGGACAGCGCGCAGGGCCAATGCGCAATGGCGGGGCCAGCACTATTGCGTCACTTATGGTGCACGCATCCTCACGCCCACCGCAACATGTCGACCGTAAACCTAGCTTAAGCTGGTGTTTGCATTGGAGAGGCTAGCGACTAGCATGGATAATCTGGTATTAGCATTGAAGAAGCTAGCGACTAGCGTGAATAAGTTGGTGTTAGCATTGGAGAGGCTAGCGACTAGCATGGATAATCTGGTATTAGCATTGAAGAAGCTAGTGACTAGCATGGATAAGTTGGTGTTAGCATCGGAGACGCTACAAGGATGTAGCAAGTGCTGGTTGCACAATAGCCTTACATTTGGCCCTCATACAGCACCATATATGAATACTTATATACATGTTAAATATCTGTTTTTTTTTTTTTTACTGAATTTGTAAATATTACAAATAATTATTTTTCACTTTGTCATTATGAGGTATTGTGAATAGAACAGAAAATGAAAATGATTTTAATCCACTCTGGTGTAAAGCTTCACATAGTAAAATATGGAACAAGTGAAAAAGGAAGTGAACTTTGTTACTTTGTATTTTTCTTCTTTCTTTTTCCATTTAGTCATTTTCTCCATTCTGAGTGAGAACCAGTGGCAGCCAGCTGTGTCTGAGCCTCACCGTGTTGTACAGCTCCTCCAGGCGTGGGATGGTCAGGAAGTGGTGAATGTTGACCCCGTTCTCAATCAGCAGCTTCACAAAGTCCACCCGGTCCAACACCAGAGCGTCCATCATGGCCTGTTCCAGAGAGTTCACCTGTCCAACACCAACAGCCCTGTCATCATCATCATCTTCTTCTTCTTCATCATCATCAAATCATAAAAATGTTGAAGTTTTCCAGGCTCTTACCCAGTTGAGGAGCTCCAGTTTGCGAGGGTCCGTCTCCTCCGGAGGCTCTGGTTTGGGTTTGCCTCCTTTCCCCTTCTTTGCRCGAGCCTTGCCCTTCCCTGCAGCTGCTGCTTGTCTCTGAGATGCTGGGCTRTTGGGCCGGTCAGCAGCTAACGCTCTGGCAGGCTGAAGAACAGAACCACTGAGTTCAGACAATGGAGCTGAAAGGAAACCCAGCAGAGCAGGTGGACCTGAGAACTCACGGGCCAGTGGAGACCATAAACAAAGATCTGACTGCGGGCGATGTCCACTCTGTTCCAGGCCAGGGCCAAACTCAGCTGATCAGATGCTGAAGCATTGGTGCCTGAAATCATGACATCAGAATGCGTTGGTATTGTTG